GGGTATAAGCTACTTCGGCCGTTGGAATTAAAGCGAAAATCAAATTTTCCTTTTTTACTCCTACGCGTTTCAACGCATTTCGCGCCTTCCTCAGGGAGTCTGCTTTATTTGAACGATAAACAATAAAAAATAAACATAGTTAACAATTATCATAACATACACATCAGAATTTGAAACTCACACTTTACAATTATTCCCATTAAACAACAATAATTACATGGTTTTAGCGCAGCGAATTTACATTACTTTCTTTTTGTTTTGTTTATATCTAGATTTTAATATAGCTGTGTAGGCGTTGTTTGTGTTGTCCACATCTTCTTTGAAATTCATCACATTGTCAAGTTTCTGTTGTATTCGTAGGCTTTCCAGTGTCATTCTCCTTCTTTCTCCTCGTTCGATGTCCAAAACTCGCGTGCTGTCGAAGTCCGCTTTGTGCTCGTTGTTTGCCAAGTGTTGAGCCAGCGCAGTTGTCATCTTTTTGGTTTTTGCGTCCGCCCCATGTTCATTTATTCTTATACCCAACGCTCGTTTCGTTGTGCCTATATAGCATTTATTGCAGCTTTCATTGTTATTACCAGTGCATGTTATTTCATATACTACATTGTTATGTTGCTCTTTTTCGATCTTGTCCTTTGTTTTAGTAAATATTTTGTTTAGAGTATTGTGTGGTTTATGCGCATATATTATGTTGTTGTTTTTCATTGTTCTTCGCAGTGTTTTATTGCTTGTTAGGCCTGGTATATATGTAGGTTAAGCCAATGTATTTTTTGTTGGAGCTTTCTGATTCGATTTTTATATTTTGGTTAGGCTGGTGAATATTGTTTTAATTCTGTTATTGTTTTCGTCAGTGAATTCTTCGTCGCTTAGAATATGTATTTTCCTAATGAGGCTGGCTGCGGTATTTACTTTTTGTTTCCAAGGGTGATTCGAATGAAAATTAATGATTCTACCCGACGCAATTGATTTTGCAAACCAGTTCAGCAATAATTGGTTTCGTCTTTTGTGCACTTCT